GCCGGAGTGATACCACTGAACGGTGGTGATTTCTCTGCTGAACGGAGAAAGGAGAGGAGCGGAATTTGTGTGGTCAGGTGGAAGAGCAGGAGCCGGATGGCCTGAGCCTCGCCACGGAAAATAGTCGTAATTGAATTGAATTGAATTGAATTGAATTGTTCAATGCTCATTGGCAGTCTTAGGGCAACGAATGCGACGCAGAAAAAAACCCGAGTTACGTAGCAGTACATAATTAATTATCTCCGAAAAATAATGGAGAAAAAGCCACTCTACCTTTAAGATTCCTTAAATTCTCGTATTCGTACCAACGAAAAGCAGAAACAGCTAGTGAAAGTTCAAGGCTGTTGAGTCATACATTATGTTCATTTCTTATCAAATAAATATATGTCACTAGAGCCTCAGTCAGAGGGGGCTTACGTTGTTTGAGCTTTCTTCAGAAACCGAAGATGCATATTTAAAAAATATTGCTTGTCAGTAACACATCAAAGGTGATCAGTAACACATTCAGTAGTAGTAGCAGATATCTTGTGGCACTCCATAATATGAATTAAGAAATAATCAAACCACAACTATAAAATTTTGAATAGTTATTATATCATCCCAAAGTCGACTTTCGGGAACACTTTTCCCATATTCAGTGAATCTACGATATGGAAACGAAATCTAAGATATAACATTAAAGTATGGAACGACAAAAGGAAATATGAGATAAAAATAACTTAATAAAATTAGTTATATCTTAATTCTTATCAACATCAAATACAAATACACAAATTATAGTTTTTAGTAATTTTCTGTAGTAAAATGTTTCAATATCTCAATAGAATACTTCATTCATAACTGTACATCAACAACAATAAAAATTAAAAGCCTGCATAAATGAAAACAAATTTTAAACACATAAAGTTATCTGGACGACACATCAATAGCCTCCGTTGGCCCAAATAGAAATATCCCGCTTCAAGTAATATTTTTATTTACATTTTAGTTTCCATAACGTTTTAAACACGTTCCAATGAATTCCTGTGGTAAATCGATGATCAGTGGACGAACAAATGGCCCAGAGTAAAATATCATTTTAAACGAATTATGCTACCTTGTGTAGAAGATACGATCCACGTTCTTTGTGGTTACGAACTGTATACAAGTGTGCCTACTGCGTGTTTAAGGTTATTATCAAGTACTGTGCGGTAAAAAGCAAATGCAGCACGTATTTGCAGATAGTTGATCTCAGCATACCTGCTCTCTTTTGTTTGCTCACTCGCGAGTTCATATTGCGGGATGACTTCGTAACTAGCGGGCACTTTGGAACAGTTTTAAGGCACGTTCAGAGCGGATCCGTGTTGGGCTGAATTTCGGGGAACACTGCCGTTTACGACCAAATATTTCGTACGCCCCTTTAAGTGCACTCAGCAGAACTTCGGTATCGGCAGAACGGTATCGTAAACGCCGGAATTATTAGGACGACGTGGGCCATTCGACATGGAAATTGACAAACTTGTTTAGTTTGTTTATGAACTTGAGTGCATCTGATCGGGAGGTCCTAGGGCTCCATTCCCGACGTTGTGGCAGGATTTTAGGCACCAGGGTTCAGCCGCTGACTGGAGAAGAATTCTATCGGCCGGCTGTTCTGTTCGGTAGTTTATCCGATCGCCTCCAGGGGAATGCGGGAGCATTACCCTAACAAACGGATCGCGCGTCTTTCCTTCCTCTTCCTGCTCCTGTCATCATTTCTTTTTTTTCACGTACACTCACAAGCACTACACTACCACACATCTTGGAAGCTTAGAGATTGTCCCGGTTGGGGCGGTGACCCGTTGTAGCAAAACCCCACAAGACGACGTATTCACCTCCCTGCGGGGAGAGAACATCGCCACACTGAAGTAAAACATGTACTACATTTACGGGTTTAATGACACTCTTGGTTAGAACTCCCGGAAACACTAAATAATCAATCTTTGGTTTATGATCCGAATAAATGACAGAAAATTTGCATGGGTGGCAATGGATGCAATTCATTTCTCTAAAATTATGCCAGAAAATAGAAAAAAAATCAATGAAATATCTTTGGATACTTAAATACCTAACCTCACTAATGCAATAGGAATGAGCTGTTTCTTCTACAAACTTTTATCTCATACAATGTCATTCCTATCTCAGATGAAACGTAGCTCTCTGCGAGAGGATTTGGCCTTCTGGATTCCGTCCAATGACGGCCGCAAGTAATTATTTGAAGGGGAAATGTCTAGTGTACGCGAATGCAGTGTGGCGTCTACGGTTCGGCAGAATGAGACAGCCGTTCGCACCCTCTTCGGCCAAACCCGGATTCACTCTTAACTCACCCTAATTGTTAGAAGGGACTGACAAAGGAACTACACTGACCGCTTGCTGGTTATTTAGGTCTTGCAAAATCGTTTCCACTTTTCAAGTTGACCTTGGGCTTTTCGCTTATTGTTACTCTGGTGTGAATGTTCCAAGCCTCTTTTCGGCGTTGAATACGGATTAATTCTTCTGGAATGTAGTTGTACGTCATTACACATGGAGTGATTGTCCTTGAAAGTAGACATTTTTGTTATAATGTCATTGACGTTTATCCACATCGGCCAGGGTCTCAGAGCCGTTAGCGTTCGATTCCCAGTCAGTCACCCATCCAAGGACCCTCGATATCTCGAGCTGCTTAACCTTCCTGACTTCAGAGAGTGATGAAGCCGTTCGGCTACCGACCCCCCCCCCCATTTACGTTCGGCACCAAACATCCAAATATAGAAGAGATTCTCTAGGCAAGTCATGGGGGGGGTTAATTCTCGCCATGTTTTTAAATGGACCATCGACAATCTCTTTAGGTAACGTAGGGCATCTCAATCATCTAACATTACTTGCTTAGGTTTTGCTTTCTCGCATACTATACAGTAGCATAGAAAAAGTTATGTAATGTTGTGGCACAAATTGCGATTTTTCTTTAGAAAATTCATATTGGAGAGCCCTGATAATGAAAAACAATGGATAATTTATGTTTTGTATATAAAAAATTACTTCCTGTAAAACATTTTTTACTCAGAATCCAGGTTTTGTGGGTCCATCCGTATGGGAGGATATTCACCAAAGTCGATGTTCTCCAATCGATCTGGTTGATGTGGCCCCTTGAATTTGAAACCGATGTATTAATTTCTGAGGCACTGTATATGAATAACATCAGATTTTTCTAAAAAACTGCTCACAATTTGTTGATTAAACTTTGTTCTTGGATAGTTTAAAAGGACTCTTAAAAATGGTACAGTTCTCAGTTTCGATAAAATATCTGAAAATTCTAAAATGTTAACATTTTGGAACCTGTGTGTACATTTCTCAAATAATGTAAAAAGGGATACCATTCTCAAATAATAATTTGCTTCTCGATCTTAAATTGTAACATCATTGCATTTAAAATTGTGTCCTGATGTACAGATGTTATATCTTTAGAAGTGATTATGGATTTTTTAATATTTTTAGCATTGGGGGGTGTAGTGCAAATACTTTTTTAAATTGAAATATGTAACTTATAGTAATAATAATATAAATTTAAATTTATCTTAAGCGGTCGCTTATAGTTCCGTCAAAAATTTGATATGAGAGGTCGCTTAATTAAGCTTATGAGGTTACCGATAGTCTAGATCAGACTAATCGTGTTAATTACTCTAAAATATAACACATTTTCTGTTAAGTTATTTTTATTATCTCGCCTTTGGAAATCTCATGTGCACGTCGGCCCGAATTGTCTAATTTCATTTATTTTGTGCTGATTCTTTACTTTAAAACGGACACAACCTTCCTCTGGGTGGATGTTGTCTCCCACCCCTTGGAAATCTCAAAGCATGATAGCTTGGTGGTTAATATAAAAGCGCTATACCCATCAAGGTTCGCTTTTATTTCGAGATAGAAACGACGGGATCTCGCTGTTCTGCAAAGTGTCTCTAAGATCCTCGAGTGTTTTACATTCCGTTGAAATCCCGGCGGCTTTCGTTTGACATGAGCACACACACGGCTCTGGGCGTCTGCGGTGTTCTGCCAGGCAGGCACGAGAGGTTCTTGGTGGTTGGGGCGCTGTGTTACGCCACATCTACGGTCACGATTTTTTTGGTAATCTTGAGTTATTTTTATATTAAGTACATGAAATTATTGTGTGTGATACAATCGAGATTGAGTTTTTGTTTGGTTTTGCGGAGGTCGATTATTTAAAGTTTACATTTGAAACTGTAATTTAAAAAAGACGTCGGGAAAATTTTCAATTGCAATTCACGTGCAATTTTTCGGAAATTCAGGGGTTGCAACGAATATAGGTTTCGCGCATTGTTAAGAACGTAGTCGCTAAATTCCAACAAAACTTAAAAGAAATTGCAGCCAATTTTGAGAACATTTTGAAAGTTTTGGTTCTTCGTACCAATAAAAATTAAAATACGTATGATATATTCAAGGGGCTGCTACATTAGTCAGATCAGTTGTGAAATAACAAATTCAATGAAAATCCTTTGTACGGTTTTGGCAGAAGGATTGTGTGGGTGATTTTTCTGCATCAAGGTCCAAATTAATGAGGATTCGAGTTCACAACGTATTAGAGTTAGTAATTTTGTAGATTGAAAAATAAGGAAAATAAACACAAAACACTTCTTCGGTGTCAGCTGCTCTTATTGCGATCGATTATTTAAATGTTACATTTGAAACTGTTATTTAAAAAAAAAAAAAGACTCAGTGTATCAAAATAATTTTCAGTGTTTGCAAGTTTTCGAAAATTCAAAATCACTTTTCCTTGCGGTATTTCAATATTTCTGTACGCGACTTAGTAGTTTGTGAGAGTTTAAAACTCTGTCGCGACAATTCCCGCCGAGGAGATCACACTAGCGAAGTAATATTCGCGTGTATCGCTCTCGCTGGAATGCCGTTTCGATTGTGTGACGGCTGCGACGCGAAGAGTTGCTGTGCGTTGCGTGCTGAACCGCGCCCCACCCTGCGCTCTGTGTTCGCAGGGCGGAGGAGGTGGAGGAGGAGGAGGAGGAGGAGGAGGCGGCGGCAGAGGCGGTGGCGGAGGCGCGGCCCTGGTTGCTGCATAAGGTGAGATGAGATGAGGCATCTGAGGAAGTGCTAAACGCGGAATTCCACACGCGGCGACGTTGAGCTACAGGGCTCGGCCGTTGTCCACGCGTTGTCGTAGGCGTTGCATATCTGTATATAAATAAAAGGCAATGTGCTATGTATGTATCATATACAAAAAAAAAAAAAAAAAGCTCAAACGATTTCGTTGAAATTTTCACCCTTTGTTCTTATTAGTATCGGGAGAGTTTAAAATGTGATGTGCAGTTAATCGACGAGATGGGCTCTATGCCGATTCTAGAGGACCTTGCCTGAAGTGCGATCTATGGATATCTCTTTGAACTACACACCTCGCTTCCACTTGTAGCGAATAACATCGTAGTTGCGATCTAGGGCGTCTGAACAAAATATTGGCGGTGCACAACATAATTTGAATATTTGATTTTTAATGTAGAGTGTAATATAGTAAAGTGTAGTTAATCTTCATTGAAGAAATTGATTTTGAACTTAGTTGTATTTATTAATACAATGCAATAGCGAAGCATTGCCAGGTCCGCTACTTTTTTAATACTTATTGATGTGATTAGGTCGAAAAATAGCAAATAATGAACGCGGTTGAAGTTTTTAAATTGGGACGATATCAGAGATTGAAATCTAGGGAGCGGATTTTAATGAAATGTCATATTTTTTTCTTTTCGCTTTAGAGCAATGCCGTTTAGTATAGAAATTCATTTTATGTTATGACCAAACGAAATTACCCATTTTTATAGGTAATTGATTTGCAGTTTTCGTCGATTTCGACGAATAAGTCAGTTTTTACATTTTAATGTCATTTTAATGTATTTTTCGCTGATTTCATCGATTTTAATATCATGTTAATGGTACTTGCTTCAAACAATATTTACTAGGTGCAAAAAATGTTCACCACAGAATTCCTGAGTAGCCTATTCGATTGCTTCGCTCTTGTATCGTAATGCCAGCCGTTGGGAGAAGTAATCTAAGGTCGGCGCCATTGTCAGTTTGACTGATTTCGCAATAAGTAGACATTTTTTTCAAAGAACTGCCCAAACCAAAGGTTTGTAAGCTGATCATCTTGAGTTGTTCATATGAAGTGGTTTGATGAATTTTTATACATTTGTCTTTGTTTTAGGGCATTTTTAAAGCATTTTAAGAACATTTTGGCAATGTTTTAGGTCATCAAAATCCGCCCCCAATTTATAACCAAGTCCATTACTTGTGATGTCGATCGTATGTTGTAGAATTCTTGGGCAACTGGTGAAAATGCATAAACTTCGTGAGAGAAATTAACTCCATAAGGATGTGAATTTGTTAACACAAAATATTAATCTTTGCTTCAGTGGGCTCATTCCGCTTGGGGGAAGTCGCTGGCACAGTTCGGCATTAGTGAAGTGAAGCTCGTATGGTGTTAACACATTTTGATCAATTGCTCCAACTTTGGTTCTTGATTGGTTATCAAACTCAACCTAACGGCCTCGTTTGATAATTCTACAATCTCATATTGTAATGTCTTACGATACTTATTTCGTAAACAAATACATTACACCTCCTTATGAATAAATTATCATAAATAAGAAATATGTTTGCTTTGAATAAGAAGAACTCGTACGCCACCTTTGCGTACAGCTCATTTGTATCAATTGCTCTTAACGGATGACGGACTGTTATTCTTATTAACGTCATTAATCCTGCATAAAGAAAATAATAGACGTGGTAGTTTTGTAAAAACGCGCAGGAAGAGGTGTATAATCAACCTTGTCCGTTATTTTAGGATATCAGCATTCTGTAGAATGATAGGAAACATGTTTTTCTTATCGTGAAAATGTAAGACTTTTCTACAGCTCTTTTTTTAGTTCCAAGTTATTTAGCTAAGAGTTTGGCTAGTTCAAATTTATTTTCTAATCTGTTCTTCACCTCCAATATTAAAGCCAGATATTTCTTTTTCAGTCCAATTTATCTCCCAATTGAATTGCGTTGAGCAGAACCCAACTCGCTAAGTTGTAAAAATTAAGCAATGGCGCTCTTTAGACAGCTGAGCATCCATTCTGCGATGTTCACAATACATCCAAGCAATTTCGCCGTGTTGATCTTTGAAGGCAGAAAAGCTAAAAGACGTAGGTAGTGTTCTTAAATTCATAAATTGCAGAAAAGTAGTAATGATAGGTATTGTGAATTAAATTATGAAAAACTAATTTGAATTGGGTGTAAATATTCATCATAAACATGTCTCAATTTCGGCGTGCATCCTTGCTGCTCGAATTTTTTTTAGATCTATTCCAACATTCCAATCCATTTTTCATCTTTATTGATTCTTATGGGTTGGATGTTCTCTGGACAACTTCGTTTAATTGTGAATCATACTTAGCCCAATAAAAAAATATAAGTAGTTGTTGAATAATTACACTAAGCTATGGGTAAAGTAGCTAGTGATTGGATCCCCCTGGAAGTATTTCATAGCGGGAAAACAAACGAGAGATTTGAGCACACAGCTAACGCAGTAGAGCGTCAATAATACGGATTCGATTGTCAAAAGTGTCACTTCACTTGAAGTGAATACGTATTTAATTGCGTATTCCGTTCGAATTACCAATTACGTTCGTCAATACCGGACACATGCACGCGAAGATTGGGATGTTACGAAAGCTGGTATGGGTAGACGAAAAGTCATAAAAGCGACCTAACAAAAGACAGAAACTTAAAATAATACGTAGATTCAAAATAATCTGTAAATAACACAATTAAAATTTTATATTTTGTGAAGCCTTTTTTTTTCAAAGTTTGAGACGTCTACTGTCTCTTTTGTGGGTATATTTCGAAAATTCCGAACGATTGGCAAGTCTGGAAGGGGTCTGATCCCATTTAATCTAAATTATCGACATTGTACTGAAACTTATCCCAGCCTTGTGTTTCACCATCCACCATCTCGATGCTCAGTATTCATAACGTCACCTGTTATTTTATCATTATCATCATTTTCATCTCCTTCGTGTTTCATAGATCTCGCAATGCGAGAAGCCTCCCAAGCGACCCGTAATGGAATGAACGGGTTACGAAAGCGTTCTGAACAGCGGCCTTCCTACTGTAGACAAGGTTACCCACTTAACTGGATTCTTTTTGCATGGTTTCGTTTTTTTATTCCGTGCTATTTCTTTGCGTTAGAATTGAAGTATCGTAATAGATTGATTAAACAATTAGAATGTTAAAAATCGATTTAGTATAGTTTTTTCACTAATTGTAACGTACAGATTAAAAATAGATTCTATTTGGTTCTACCAACTTAATAACCCAACTGAATAAGAGGTTAATTTGTGGTATCCTAAATGCAAATTCAACGACCAATCAAATTTTTTAAAAAAGCGTCAAGTTAAATACATTTCTCATACATTCTGTATAATTAGTAATGCAGTGTGTCTGTTTTCCCTCTTATTTTAATGTTAACAACATGTACACTATTCGGCAGGTTAAAAATAGACGCAATTAAAACTAGGAAATAAAATGTGTGCGTGTCGAGAATGTTTGGTGGGACTACATATTATTTCTGAATCATTCTGCCTGCTGTTCGTGCGAGAAGTTCTGCGATCCTTATGTATTAACATCAGAGAAAATATAATACATGAAACGGAGGATGGAGGCTTAAAAAGTAAAATATATTGATGTAATTGTGGATGTACGACTTAATTGTTAATCACGTGCGCAGTATTTTGGAATAAACACTACAGGATCGACTGAAGGATCACACTCGGACAACTATCGATCGCGTATGTCGAAAGCGAGAGCGAGGGAAGCAGTTCAAGAGATTGGTATTTTCGAGATGAAAGATCGTTCATGTTATTTGCATTCTACATTTTTTCATTTCTCATGTCAACCCATGATCTACGCAACTACGAAACGTACAACGGTGAATGATATTTCAAACTGTTTTTTTTATTGTCTGCTGAGATGGAACACCTACATTTGAAGGGCGAGGCGCGGCCGATATCGCCAGGCTGTGGCAGTCGCGTGCTTTCTGTCGCGTACGTAGAACTCCACGCGCTTTATCCCGCGGAATAACAAGTAACACCAAGGTTAAACTGTTGCGAACAATCGCGCATCATCGCCGCCAGTTGTAGACCCTGAGTAGCATAAGGTCATCAGTAAGGTACCCATTCCGCGGCCACTACCTTCATCACAGAAGAGACTTTTTCGATTATGACCTTTGATCGACTATATTTTTTTCAAGCTCCCTAGTGTTGAAATTTGGGGCACTGAGGTGATATATTTGTTTCCAAGACGGAATTAATTTCCAGGAGGTTGTATTTCCTATGTTCACTTTAGCCGAGGTTCAGGTTCACTATAACCGAATCTTCTTATGCTCATTTGTAATGCAAGTGAAACGGGACTTCACTATATCCGAGTTCACTATAACCGGAGTCGACTGTATCTACAATGTTGTTTACGCGGAGCCGGCACGCAAGTGGGCACCGTGCAACCAGTGATGAATCCCGGATAGGGAAGGGGGTGGCTTAAACAGAAGATACACCCTTTCCCCCAAATACAACCCACACGATGAGACGGTGATCTTTAAAAGCTACTTGGCAGATTTCTATCCAATTGCGCGTGGGCGCTATGAAACACGATCAAGCACGTGGATGAAATTACTTCTGCATCGCAAACAACTCATCGTAGATTCCGAGAACGCGATTTCCAAGAAACAGGAGAGGGTGTAAATTTGACAATTCACGGCGAAGTTCGAGAAGGCAGTAGTTTTTCATTGTTTGGAAGAAACATGATTCTAGTAACGTATATGATAAACTCGTATCCGAAATGCTCTGCATTTAACGGAACGTATTAATATGTAGTGAAAGGAAAAATACGTAATTATAGCGAAATATGTAAAAATATGTGATATAAAAATGGTAATAATTATTTCGTGATGTCTTGTAAACATTAAAAAAATATTGAATGCAGATTCTCGGGTTCAATTTTGTTCCTGTAAAATATGTATTTACATCAAAATCCATTCC